CAGCAAAACTGTTGGTTTTCTAGGACTATCGGATCCTGTTTTTGACATGCAATTTATTCTTCTAAATAATAACAGAATGTTCTGTAAAGTTTGAGATCGTCATACTACCTGAGTTCTTCAAAAACGTAATAGCTACATGTCGATGGTCCTCAACAGGTAGATGTAAAACTTGTTTTCTTGTAGTATGCTTTATTTTCGTCAATTTAGATAACAAAAACTTCACTAACGACGTTTTTTATTGATTACTCCTGTTGTAAACATTATTTCACTAATAAAGCATGTGCTTAAAGATCACAGTTGTATGGGGGCTAAAAATCCTATACCATTCTGAATGACTTTCAAAGAGATCGGTTGTTTGTTATCACATTTAATGTGCAACAAATCAGAGTACTAATTACAACACAAGAATCTAGAAGTTGTGTATTTCATTACTGAAGATCAGTTCACTCCATTTGAACTAATTTATAGAGCAAAACGTGTATTTCACCCAATTTGCCAGACTTTGCGAACAAAAATTCCACTATAAGGTGCATGAGTTCACGTTATCTCTGAGTCTGGCATATAGATTCCTCCACACCACAGCTAAATGAACCAGAGGTTTAGTCATCAAAGTTATGAAGCCAACATTGGTTAATCCTGTCTCAAAAAGGAATGCTCTTATCTCAAATGACTGAATACATTTTTATAAGTCTATGACCTTCGCCAGTAATTCTCCTATCCGACGTTATTACGATGAATCGTTTTCTTCTTTCGTGTCCTATTAATTAAAACAAAACCATTAGTTTGGTAGTTGATGCCTTATTAAATCTGTCCAGCAAAATCAGTGATAAATACCCTTGCTCATCTATTAAAAAATTTATTTCATGTGGTTAGAACTTGCGTATTGAGAATATGTCATTTAAGACAAATCATTGAAAAAATGTACAAAAATTCAATGAAAACCACTAAGCAAAATTTGTGCAGACAAACACCAAGCCTTGACAGTGATAGTGTGCATATATTGACAATAATAGCCATTACAGGCTACCAGTTGTAAACTCAACTTTTATTGTGATTTCGTTAACAGTTTTGAATTTAATAACTGAGATTCTGTATACACTGTTCATTTTTAGGTCTCATTAAATTCTAAATTCATTGAACTGGATTTCATCTTTCTGACTCCAGTAGGAAATCACTCACATGTCACTCCGTGACCAGTTTTTTAGTATTCGCTCAAAAGGATGATTAAATCCTGTGGTACTTGAGGTTTACTGTAATTAGAAACAGTAAAAACACAATACCATGTTATCCGCCGATTTCTTCGCCACTCTGAGTACTAGATGACTATTAGCGATGAAGTCACGTTTCTAGTAGAAAATCGATGATAACGTTAGTTACTAGAAGTGGTGCAGTTAAACTCTGACCTGTCAAGAGACCTTAAAAGCAACAAATTTTTACACGAGGATTAGATCCTAGATTTTATTAATCAAGAAATCGTTTATCTAAAAGTACTATCACTCCACACATATAAGGTCTAATAATTCGCCATATAAAACATTGCAACAAGCGTTTCGACTGTAAGAACTGACGTTTCACTAAATAACGTGACGCTACTGCTTAATTCTAACGAGTCCAGCTAGTACCATGATCACATACAAAAACCTTAGAAACAAAGGGTGGTGGCTTGCAATCCATGTCAACCTGTCAGCAAATTAACTATCACTTGGAAAATAGATTACTTGATGTACTAGAGTTTTTGTACATTGTGAACACATGAAGCACAGCAGAGAAAAATATCTCGTCACCTGAAAAACTGACCAGAGCCTTTATTCAACTTAGGTTTAACAGACGAATAGAATTACACTTTAATACTAATTCGAGGGCGAAATGCGATTACTCTTATCAACAACAGGGGATTTAGACGAAACCAACCCAGAACATTATGAAAACTAACTATCATGACTGACATCAATGAGATTTCAACTTTCAGATGACAGAGCCTGAAAACATATGGAGAAACAGCTTATTACTTTGAGCTCTCCCTCTTGAAAACTGGCATGGATTTCAGTGTTAGATTTGTGTCGCCTATTTTTTGTTCAAACAATCGTCAGATTTTCAGTGGAGCGAGTAAAACATTAACTAAAGATATGACAATGTTGAGTAGACTATCGAAACCACTTGGTTTTTAGATTGACTTCGGTAATTTTCACAGCTGACTGAGGTTTTTAGGAATATACTGAATTCGTCTTACTCCATAGATGAATTATAATGAAATATTACCATGATATTTAAATATCCATACATTGCTAATCCAGTACCTGAATAAGTAAATAGCGAGAGGGTTAACCATACATGTCTTATCAATAAGCTCAAACAATTGGGTATCAGACCACCTCCAATCGATCGGCTCACTTCATACCTGAAAAATCGACATTTTAAGGTCAGGGTTAATTTCACTTTACCTCAGGCTATGGAATGTCCTAGTGGGGTCCCCCAGGGCTCAGTACTAGGGCCTCTTCTCTTCTTGATATACATAAATGATCATCCTCAACAGGTAACGTCAGACTTATTACTCTTTGCCGACGACGCGAAACTTTGGGGAGAGAGATACGCAACCAAGACGATATACAGGCACTTCAGGTGGGGCTGACTCGATGATAACCGGCTTACCTTTAATACTTCAAAGTGTAAAGTAGTCCATCTGCGACATGTTGCAGACTACAGTTACAACTTAGGAAACTCCTCTCTAGTAGTATCCCAAGTCGAAAAAGATTTAGGAGTCCTGGTGCCCTACGATTTAAAGCCTTACGCTAACTGTGACAAAAGTGCCTTCCGAGCAAACCTTGCACTGGTATCATTGAAGCGCATTTTTGGCCGGTTTGACGGAAGAACTTTCCATATAATCTTCAATAGTTTTATCCGTCCACATTTAGAATATGGAAACATAGTATTTCCCCCTCACTCCAAAAGGATAAGGACACTCTGGAGCGTATCCAACGGCGAGCCACGAAATCAGTTCGAGGACTCAAATTTAAACCTTACGAAGAGCGCCTTCAATCACTTAAACTTTACCCATTAGAGTATAGACGTCTTAGAGGTGACGTTCTAATGGCTTACAGTATCCTCAACACTTCTGGACATCCACTTAAACACCTAATTAAGCTTAGTTCCAACACTAACCTAAGAGGTAACACCTAGAAACTAGAGATACAACATAGCAGAACGGACTGTAGACACGACTTCTACTCCTTAAGAGTTGTCAAATGCTGGAATTTGCTTCCGGTCGAGCTAGTCTAAGCGACTTCCCAGGAGTCCTTTAAGAGGCGACTTGAACTATTCTTAAGGACTAAGGATAGTATCATACAGTGATTTACTAATTTCTTTTCCTCTTTTATTGTTAACATACCTAGGTTCCTGCCTGGAGGATTTGGTGATCCCCTGCTACTAGACACGGAAGCCTGTTAAGCGAAAGCTTCTTCTATTCCGTCCACAACCATTTGAACCATTTGAACATCCTGTATATTAGGCTTCCCAAGATCAGACCCAAAAGAAGAAAATTATATGCATTCCAAGAACATTCGCTTGAGATTTGACAAAAAGCTTGGTTTTAGAAAAGTATAATAACAGTAAAGAACAATGTACATGAAACTGTCATTCACATATAATCTAGAAGGACGCAATAGTCACTCCCATACATAAAACAGGTCTACGACAAGTTCCATCAAATTACAGACCCGTAAGCCTCACCAGTGTTGTAATTAAAATACTGGAAAGAATAATCAAACGGACCATAACAGCATTTATGGAAACCAATAACTTGCTGAACATGGCACAACATGGTTTTAGAAAAGGTCTATCCTGCACAACGAACCTCCTTATAGCAAGGGAATTTAAAATAAAGGCACTAGACAACGGAAACTCAGTGGATTTTGTCTACATAGACTTCAGTAAGGCTTTCGACAAGGTGCCAACTAATAGACTGCTATTGAAGTTGGCAAACCTTGGTATTGCTGGACCTCTTTTAAAATGGATTAAGGATTTCCTAGTAGGTCGTAGGTAAAAAGTAAGAATAAATTCCAAGTGCTCCATCTGGAGACCAGTACTTAGTGGAGTACCCCAAGGTTCCGTCTTAAGTCCTTTACTTTTTATAATGTACGTTAATGATCTTACAAGTATAGCACAGTCTCCAATGTTATTATAAGCTGATGATGTAAAAATTTGGCGAGTAATAACTGGAGACAAAGACGCATTTACTCTTCAGGCGGACTTAAATAATATGATAAACTGGTCTAAAGAGTGGCTAATGCCTATCAACTCGAAAAAGTGTGTCTACATGCACTTGGGAGATTCAAAGGTTAATACATACAACATAGGGGATGTGTCATTACCCGTAGTCCGGTTTCATAAGGACTTAGGGGTGACAGTGAGCAATGATCTTAAGACGACGGCCCATTGCCAGGAGGTCGCAGTTAAGGGCTTTCGAACCCTCTGGGCTTTAAAAAAGACATAGACTAAGCTTGATACTACCATGTTCACCACATTATACACATCCTTAGTGAGAACTAAGTTAGAGAACTGTGTGTCCGGCTGCAAGCCCCTGTTTAAAAGGTGAATCAAACATACTAGAAAAGATACAGAGGGCAGCTACGCATGCAATTCCGGAACTCCTATCGCAGACTAAGGGGAGATCTAATATTGATGTACAGAATACTGAGAAATGATTTCGGACCCAACTTATTCTCTCTCTTTCTTCCCACTAGATCGAGACACCTCAGAGGACATAGCAGGCTAGTAGAAAAGCCAAGAACGAACAAAATACCCGTGGCATACAGGTTTTCACATCGAGTCATCAATACTTGGAACCTGCTGCCTGAAGCAGTGGTGTCCGCACCTTCAATTGACTCTTTTAAGAGAAGACTGGACACTCACAGAAGCATACTAGAAAAGGAATAACATAGGCCGTAGGCCTTCTGTCCTTACTACACAAATCTGAATCATCTGAATCTATTGAACGAAAATCTAAGCGCCTAACATGGTAGTGGTCCAAGGTCGCGTTGAATGATTGCAGATATTTCTAAATACGATGGCGAAAAGGAGACTCCTCCGTATGTTGTTCATGTTTTGTTGATCCTTCCATATTTAATTTAGAAATCCGGGAGATTTGCGGTCCCTTCCTGACTTTGCTGCACTTTGTTCTTTCCTGACATTTTTTGGTTCTGATCTTGGTATTCACCTTACGTTCCCACAGTTATATGATTTCCTCGCTCTTCAAAATTCAGGTATGAAGTGCAGCAGTAAGCGACACATTATTGATCTGACTATTACTCCAGTTGTTAAATTATTGTTTCGTAATAGATTTTGGAACACTAAACACTAGTTATAATTATGAAGGGAACTGTATATGTTAGCATTATTACTTAGTCAATAACTTTCCAATCGTCTAAAAGATTACTTGTAATAAAGTTCGCATCGTATTATGGTCTATATTCCTCTATGTAATGCTACACTACTCGTTTTGCCACCATGCATACTCTGTACTGTCTGATGTTCGTAGCACTTGAGTTACTAAAGCAATTAGCTGTAATAGTTTAAAACCAAATGGCTTCGTTTTCATAAGTAAGTAGAATTTTACATGCTCTTACTGCCGATTGTTGGTATATCTAGCCCAAATGAGTAGTCATCAACTGACTGTACATGAACGATATTTTTATCTTCTATATACTAAAAGAAATGGGGTCTCGAAAGCTTCTGGGTTCACAACGCACTACACATCTCTGTACTGATTAACTCGGGCAAACTGGTAACTGACAAAGTTTTGTACTGATGTCAAATGAATTCAGTAAGAGGTGGTAGATGGAGTGAGACCTGAAATTCTTATCGACTATATTTTGCTTATTCGTTAACATTTCAGTATATATTCCCCAGCCAACAGTTGTTACTACCGTTTTACACCTAACTGTATGCCATGTTGTACACCTAATATATCTGCCATTCTTTGCCTACCATATATATATATCTAATTCTTTCTTCATATCACCTATGTTCGTAGCTTAAAAATATTGTAACTTTCCTTTTTTAATAACATACAAACATGTGGTTTCCAAAGAAAGCATTTTTGGTCAAAGCACGTTCTTTAAAAGAAGCTATGGTCTCTAGTTAAGAAAACATACCGCGAAAAACATCTATTAGTGAAATATCCGTCAACGAAGTACAGGAGGATGCTTCATTAAGTATCACGAGCACATCATAAATCAGTTGCAAGTATAAGAGCTGTCCGTAAACTATCACAATGAAGTATAGGTTCTTCCTCGAACCCTTTAGATGCCCCCAGATCCCCTGGAAAGGCTGACGGTAGGGCGAGTCAGCTCCCTCTCGAAATGCCCTCATATGGCCATGTGCGTACAACCACTGCCGAGCAAGTCTTACTCACTGACTTCTCACGGCATTACAGTTGTTTCCGAAATTGAGAGTACGAAAAGAAAATGTCTGGTGCTCTAACCGGGTTGGTGGACACGGAGAGTCCACCTAGAGGAGTTGGAAAACCCTGATTTCAAACCAATCGTGCATATGGGCTCTAGGAAATGACGTTTGGACCTATTGTTGGTCACTGGTTACCATGAGACTGCATCACCTTACGTTGCCTCACTACCTTGTGAATCAGACCTTCAGGTTAAATGTTTCAGGTGTGGCCCCCTAAGAAAACCACCTACTTCGGTTTGAGTACCCAGGCAGTATCTCAGCTCCCACACGGATTGAGTGATTCGTGTGGTGCATGTATATTTGGTGCCTCATTGTACCAATGTTTATATGTTTAGACAAATAAATATCCCTACTTTGTTTACAGGAAGTGTAATTTTCTTGTGTATATACAAGCATGTCATGCGCTAATCATTCGCAGTTCTTTTTTATTAGCAAAAACAAAAATATGGGAAACTCTTCACGTCAAATTGCTCAATAAGTTGAAATACCGCGCTCGTCCTGATCGTTGGGAACCAGTTTTGGGTCGTTTCTTGCTTAGTCATGGTCTTCATATTGATGGAATTCAAACAGCTGCTGAGCTTCTCTTAAACAGTGAATGTGGAAATAATGAAAAGCTGAATGTATTCATTCAAGAGTCACCTGAATATGTCTCTAGTTACTACAGGCTTTCTCCTAACGTTCGTGTTAAAACTCTTCTCTGTCTTTTGGAAACTCAGTTTGATCGGAATCAGCCTTTCAAAGATAAGGCAAATCTACGCTCTCCTGTCGATTTACGATTTCCTCCCTTGGGGATTGATGTTTGGGGTAGAAGCTATTGGCTTCTGAAGGATTCAGATATAAATATTTACTTATACAGAGAAGATCATCAGGAAAACAATTTCCAGGTAAGTACTTGTGTGTTTCCTATCTTATTCATGTAATACTTATCGGTAGGGCTTTGTTTACTCAATGATTTAATTTTCAAAATTTGAGTTCCAAGTTTTGATACCGCTTCGTATGTACCTTGGTCTGAACAAAAATTAGTATTGATAACTTTCGCTGAAAATGGCTGGAAGCCGGGAACGTAAATCTGTACACAGTTACTGAGTCCTTTTTAATAATACCTTATAAAAGAATAATTCAAGTAAATTAACATTGTGATGGTAAATTACTGCGAGAATCCTGTTATTTTATGTATTATATATTCAATAAATAGCTTTCAACTTATTTCTAAAACTCAGCAGATCAATGCGCTTTTACTACAGGTTTGGTGTAAGTCTTTTAAGATCAGTTCTTCATTTTAGTTGGGATAATTTTTTACGCAATATTTAATTAGTGCTTGATTGTCACTTTTCCTCTGGAATTTACCAGTTGAACTGGGTTGATTTGTTGTGAAACATTAAACAATGCTGCTCTTATTTATCACATAGGGTTGGTGGAACATATACATCTGGCGCCCCCCACCCTCTTTCTTGTGCTATGTTTTGTCTCTTGACCAAGAAGTGTTAGGTTAGTTTGTAAAGTACTGAGCTTTCAACCATTGTATTAAAGGATGGAATCCCATTTCATCTACCTTAGTCGAGGTAACCGCGCGGTATTACAGCTAACATGAATAGTATGACTGCAAGCAAATTATGTAAACATTTCCAGTGAGTCACTTTATTTATTAAACAGCCTATCTACATTAAGTGAATACTCTAGAGAGTATTTTAGTTCAATTTCTGTAAATTCTCAACAACACTGAATGAACTAAATAAGAGATGTATAAGTATATTTAAAAAAAACAGGAACGAATAAGAAAAAACTGAAAGGACTTTGTCTGTTTGATCAGAATTCATATCTTACTAGCCTTATTACTTATTGTTTTTATTATCTTAGAGCTAAAGTCACTCCTACTAATGGGTGGGCATATTAGGAACTATGGTTTTTAATTTCATCCAAGAGTATTAGTTCAGCACTCCTAATTTGCTCATTCTGTTTTTTTTTCACTAAGTTATTGTGTGAATCTTTTGACGACGTTCGTGGTCTCATCGAGGAATTGAAAGAAGCCTTTTCGGAAGATGAAAAGCTCGAAAGTATTTTTAAGAAAAAGCAAGCTTCAGACAGATCAAATCTGAAATATCAATGGACAAACTTGATACAGGATAATGTAGCCTCTCCAGAACTGGAAATTTCAAAAAATGACGAGGATTCTGTTGTTTCACCGCTATCGCAGCCAAATGATTTCTTAAAACCTTCAATTACACCACCACCAACTCCTACTTGTGATCAAAAACCAACTATTCATTCAGTCGACATGCTATTAGCAATTTCAAAGATTGAGCATTCAGTCAAAACAGAAAGTCAAGAAAATAGTGGGTTAAGTGACGAAGTGGCTTCTAGTGACAGAGGGAAAACGGATGATCAAAATCATAATGTTCATGAATTTGAGGTGGAACAAAAATGTCTTGATGCAAAGTACGTCTGTTTACCTATCAACAAACATTTTTTACTGTAGTTATCCAAATCTTAGACTAATGTTTGTTCGTACTCATTTTGCTTGTCCAAAGTAACGCGTACACAATACACAGAGACAAAAAAACAGCGGTCTGTGTTTGATATTTACCTATCAGTCATTAACCTCTCTTGCAATTGAAGTGAAGGTGAAATAGCATACAAAATTCGAAATTTATTGCGTTCTTTCCCTTATATACTCAAATGGCGTTGTAGTTGAACACTATCTTACAACCATATAACGTATCAGAATACGCTTTACTTTACTGCATAAGCTTCGTTTACAATGTAAAAATAACTTGCCTACTTTTTGCAGATAAACTATAATCTTGCTTGATCATTCGTAAATCTGTCATGATTTGTCTTCAGAATATATTAGCCAGCATCTTTGTTGTATGTGTGGCAATATCAGTCGTCTGTATCAACTGATGTCTCCAACAAACAGCTGATTTCTAACTTCTCTTGTATGACAAAAGTTCTCCATGAATTTAAGCCATCACTAAATACGAAGTAAAACTGGTTAACAATCGTTACAGGTTATTGAACAATTATGTTACTGCAGATCAAATATCCATCAAATACATGCATAATGGAACAAAGAGGCATCAAATACATATGCGCCACACAAATCTCATTCGATATGTGTGAGGGCTGTGATACTGCCCGGGTGCCCAAATCGAAGCAGGTGGTTATCTTAGGGGGCCACACCCCGAGCCTTCGACCTGGAGGTCTGATCCACAAGGCAGTGGAGCATCGTAAGGAGATGCAGTCCCATGGAAGCCGGTGACCAACAATTGGTTCATACGCCATTTGTTCCCGCAGGATACTAGAGCCCATGTGCACCATTGGTTTGGAATCCGGTTAAAGCGCCGGACATTCGCTTTTCATCCTCTCGTTTTCGTAAACAACACCCCCGCCACGAGAAGGCAGTGAGTAGGACTTCCCTGGCAGAGGCTATATACGCGTGGCCGTGTGAGAGCATTTCGAGAGGGAGAGCGGACTCTCCCCACTCTTGGCCGTACCAGGGCATTTGGGGGCAATCAAATATCCAAGTATTGTTTGCTTTTCAAACTACATATTTTTTACTAATCAGTATTAAAGATAATAAACATACAATTTCCTTTAAATTCTTTTAGCACAGAATATCACATCAAGCAAGAATGTACCACTGAACAAGTCCTAAGACCAGAAGATGATTGCAATGAACATACAAACCAAAATTCCGAGTCATCAGCTGTGGAACCATGTACTACTGTTTTGTCAAAGAAGTTTCGGAAAAACAGCTCCACCAAGAGCTCAGAAATTGTTGTTAATGAACAGGATTTACGACGCAGTAGTAGGCAACGTAAGCCTGTTCAGGTATTTAATATCCAACCGTCTCAATCTAAACGTCCAAAATTACCAACCCCAGTTTCAAACTCATTACACAAGGTCAATAACGAAAACGAAAAATCTAAAAAGCAGAAAATACCTGTCGTAAAAATACACCTCACTTCAAATGGCCATGTAGTAAATAAAAACCAAAAACGAAAAAAGAAACGTCATCGTAAAAAACCTCGAAAGGGTTCAAATCCTTGGGTTTATGGAACATCTTCTAGTGACTCAGATGGTGAAGATGACTCATTTGAAAATGCACTTATGCAACATTTAAATGTAGATAGCGATGAATCAAATCTTCATTCACCAAAAAAACCAGGCAAAAACGTAAATCCTGAGTGGTCAGATGCGCCTGAAAGTGATTTCGACCCGAATGGTTTGGATATTCAAAGTGATGCTGATAGTGTAACCGATGGACGGAACTTGGCCAGGCAAAAACGTTTACAAAAGAAGTTTGAATCAGATCCAAATACTAATTGTAATGCAGACGAAAAGGAAGAAATGTGTCAGGTTTGCTTTAAGTCACATTTACCCGATTGGATGTTGTTATGCGACCGATGCGATTTGGGACATCATGCTATGTGCCTCTCACCTCCTTTACATATTATTCCGGAAGGCGATTGGTTTTGTCCTCGTTGTCAACACGCTACTCTGATATCAGCTTTAAACGAAACCATTACTGTTCTTGAGGCTGAATCGAAGAAGCGAAATATTTGGAAGCGTATGCAAGAGCGCTTGAATTTTGTTAATATCAGTATGACGAACATTTTAGGAGATGATGATAGTGATTTCCATGAGCGTAAAAACAAGAAAGGAAAAGTACTGCGTAATACTCAAAAGAACAATGTTAAGTATGCTTGTGATGACTCGTATAGTGATCAAGAAAACGAAGATATTGCTTCTGCATCCCATTCGGATACTAAAAATACTAACTCCAACACTGACTCTGGTGTTGACGGCAGGTCTCAAGGGAATCCAACTAGGCGTCGTCGTCAAGTTCGGCCAAAAGCAAAGACTCAGTTTTCCAGACCACGCCGTGTAAACTTCCGAGACGAAACGTCTGAAGAATCAGAGTCAGTCGAGTCTGATTATGAACCACTTCCTTGTAGAAATACTCGTCAACGCCAAGTTAGGTATAAAGTGAGCGAGGCATTCAAAGAGCTAGATGAAGCACTAGAAGCTGACGAAAAATATCAAGAAGAAAAGCAGCGCAAACTAAAACGAAAGACTAGTGAACATTACAACCAAACTGATGGTGAAAATGTTATCGACGAAGAATGTGAGCTCAACGGTCATACGCCTAAATGTTCACGTGGAAAAGACCTATCGAATATCTTGGGGCCGGATTGGAAAGAATTCGAAGAAGATAACAGTATGCGATCTCGTAAAAAGCGTCGCATCGCTGATCTGTCTTCTAGTTCTTCTAGTGAACATTCGAATGAAGATTCAGTAGATGGTAAAGCAAGACGGAGTTGTCGAACGAGAGATGAAGATTTTAAACCATCATCTTCTGAAGTGTCAGAAAGTGAAGATGATGTCGACTCTCGGAAGCATATTTCAAGTGATGAGTTTGAACAATTGTCAAGTGATAATAGTTGGCTTTCAACTGCACGACACAATTCTCGTTCGTCACGTGGAAATACTCGAAAAAAGAAAAGACCATCCAACTATTCTTACCGGTCTCGAAAACCCGTCCCTTGTTTTGAAGACAGTGATGAAGGATCTGATCGTGCAGTATTACGGACTAGAAGGTGAGCTATTTGCTAAGTTCGACATTCAATTCTTTAAAATGTTTCTTACTAGTTTGAAAAGAAAACTATCAGTCAATAAATCACAGCAGTGAATCCCGTACATTCATTCCTTTTTTGTTAAAAGTGAATTATCACTATCATCCACTTAATAGCTTCTGCTCAGAGCTTAGCACACAAAGTTGTGTCTGCTTACTGACCTTGGGGAAGTATATAACGTAATGGCTGAATATAGTTTTGTGTGTTGTACTACTAGTTATAAATATTTATGATTAATAACAACACCCAGATACTCAAACTAGATTAAATAGAGTTGGTTTTAACCCGGAATTCAGTAGTTGGCATCCAACTGTCTAATTCAGAATCACAACTTTCAACTGCGTCAAAGTTCAATAACATTCACTCACTAGTATATTTATACTGTGTGCCATACCGTACTATTGCATATCAAGGTATATTCTGTTAGTAGATTGTCACTATAAACACGATTGACGGGTAGGTAAACTACACACCATTTCATTGCTAACTATAAGCAGTTGTTCCAGTTAGTTGGTCATTTAATATTTTCCAATATTTACTCAAATAAACCCCAGCTACAGTATCTGATGATGCGTTTTTCCCGTTTTCAAGAATAAAATGGGAAGTTATAGACGCTTCAAACTTGTGTTATTATTTGTTGACATTTAGATCTTGGATTTCCAAATCAAAGCTTCCTTGTTTTTTTCTGCATTAAAAGTTTATGCTTATGATGATGAACGAGTTTGGAATCGTTAGATTAGGTATGTATACAATACACATTGACCGACGATATGTGGTGGTACGATGTAAGCGAGTGATAACTGCTGATGGGACTTATTGACAAACCCGAACGTCCCAAAATTAGCGTCAAAAGACAAAACCATTAGCCAGAAAACGGATGTTTTAGTGTCTCGACCGAAACTGCTACCTTGACGCGGTGGTCGGGCTTGCCTATCGTGATGACCCAACCGAGCTATATTGGCTGGAACATATGTTGCTGTAGGTTCTACCATGCCAGGCAGGTCGATTGGAGAACGGTAAGACTAAAAGCAGCAACTCAAGGTCTGAGGGCGAATTCGTACTGCTGACTGTAGAGGGGTGTGACAGTAGTAAGGTGTTTCCCTCGGACAACCAGCATCTGCAGAGATGCTGCCTTCCCACAAGGAGGGGTGGGGTTAAAAAAGGTCGACCCTAAAAATGTCACATCTCACCTTACCTCACGGATTTCCGTCTCCGGCGGTAAGGCCCTTTGAAGAACGGAGCTAACACATCAAAAATCTTCCACGAAAAGTTCGTGCGCGACTGGCCTCAAGCAGTTGTCCCTTGGGCTCTGCGGTCACGCTCCCAGGTCGTTAAGACCAACACTAATCCAATTTCCTTTTCAAGTTCCTCAAGAAATACCCTTCCACGGTGTGGGCAGCCAGGAAGTGATATCAGCCCTCATACCCGTAACAGCACACGAGACCAAGTTGATCACATTCAAATCCTTCCTACACCTCCTAATACCTCTCTTATCCTCCCGACTAACCCTCCTCACGTCTCTTTATCACCTCGCACCGCTAGGGCAAACGATTCGAGTACGTGGAACGCCATTCCTGGTCTCCTGAAACTACGCTCTAAACTACACGTAGGAGCTTTTAACGTACGAACACTTTGCCAAATAGGACAGCAGGCTTCCTTAGCTAAAACTTTAGAATCTCGCGCCATCGATGTGTGCTGCGTCTCCGAAACGCGCATACAGGATCCAAGTAGCGTCATTCATTTGACCTCACCATGCCAAAATAAAGAACCGACTCGATTCACACTTCGTGTATCTGGAAGCCCTGATTCTGCTTCCCGTGGCCTCGCCGGCGTAGGTATAGCATTGAGTCCTAGGGCAGAACTAGCTCTCTTAGAGTGGATCCCAGTAGACAGTCGTTTGTGCGCTGTCCGACTAAACGGAACAGTAAGTATCCGAAAAGATAGGGACACTCGTCGTTGCCTCTTCGTCGTCTCTGCCTATTCTCCCACAGACTGCAGCGCAGATGATGTAAAAGATGAGGTTTACAGAAAGCTCTCCGAAAAGCTAGGCGCTCGGATGTAGTATTAATAATGGCCGGCGACTTTAATGCTCAAGTAGGTAAACTAAGCGATAGGGAAAGACACCTAGGTGGATCTTATGGTGTCGTGGCTCAAAGAACAGATAATGGCGACCGTCTGTTGCAGCTATGCTCAGATAACCGCCTGTTCCTTGCAAATACTAACTTTAAGCATAAGGAAAAACATCTTTTAACATGGCGACCCCCTAATTCGTCCCAACGTTGGACCCAAATAGATCACATCGCTATCAGCCACCGATGGAGGGGCTCGACACAAGACTGTCGCTCATTCTGGAGCACATACTTAGATTCAGATCATGCTCTAGTGCGAGCGCATATTTTCCTGCGTCTTACTGGACGTAGGAAAGACGCTGCAAATAAACCTCTTAGGGCCCTACTTAATGATAGTCAAACTAAGAGTATATTTCAGGAACAACTAGGAAAACAGTTAGGCAGCCATGTATGTAATGCTCACCCCGAGGCAGCATGTAATGATATCCGAAAAGCTGTGGAAACAGCAGTGATATCTGCTAGTACGGTAACCCGTAAGGTTAGGAAGCAACACTGGATCTCAGCAGCATCTATCTCACTGATAGATGCTCGGAAACTCATTCCACCTGGCTCTGAAGAGCGGAGTCAGCTTAAGCGCAAGCTGACAAGAAGTCTACGCAATGATCGTGAACAGTGGTGGGTAGCGAAAGCAAGAGAGATGGAAAAGGCAGCGGCAATAGGTAATAGCAGACAATTGTTCAGACTTGTTAAGGAAACCGGTATTAGGAAACCAATTGTTAGCGAAACACTCTCAGAGAAAGATGGACATATTAAACATTCTCAATCCAGGAGATTGGATCGATGGGCATAACACTTTAGGGATCAGTTCAACTGGCCTTCAGCCACACTTCGGTTTCCCACGATCTCCAGTCAACCTAAATGGTAAGTTAATGTAGGTCCTCTGACTCTTTACGAAGTTGAAAAAGCCATAGGAAATGTGAAGCGAGGGAGAGCAGCGGGCCCTGACAGGTTTACTCCTGAGATTTTTAAGGATGGTGGTTTAGTATTATCAGTGAGATTGACTGAGGTCTTAGGTAGAATTTGGGAACTGGACGTAATCCCATCTGACTGGTCTCAATCACTGATTGTGCCAGTCTATAAGAAAGGACAAAAGTCCTCTTGTGACAATCACAGAGGAATCAGTTTGACAAATATAGTGTCTAAAATATTAGCTTCAATAATACTTCGACGCATAATCAAAGCTCGTGAAGAGCAGACTAGAGAAAATCAGGCTGGTTTTCGACCTGGACGTGGTTGTATAGACTACATATTCACACTACGTCAGGTTCTAGAACACAGACACACGTTCAGACGCCCCACAATCGTAGTATTTCTCGACCTTAAGGCGGCATTCGACTCTGTTGATCGTGAGGTTCTATGGAAGTGTTTGTCACTGAGAGGTGTACCAAAGAAGTACATTAACCTTATGAAGGCTCTCTACTCGAACATAACTGGTAGAGTGAGATCTTATGGCGAACTGTCATCAGAATTGATTACCTCAAGTGGTGTTCGTCAGGGCTGTCCACTCTCTCCATTCTTGTTCAACTTTGTCGTCGACGTACTTTTAGAGATAACACTTTCCTCATCTAGATTTCCAGGGGTTGAACTTCTACCGGGAGGTTCACTTGTTGACTTAGAATATGCTGATGACATAGTTTTATTTGGTGAAGACGCTGACAAAATGCAGAGTCTTCTGACCACTCTAAGCAACAATGCAAGCATGTTCGGCATGAGATTCTCCCCCTCGAAATGCAAAATGTTGCTTCAGGATAGGGAGTGAAGTAGTTGAGTGTGTCGATCCCTTCACTTATCTTGGAAGTCTCATCAGCCCTTGTGGTTTGGTGTGTGACGAAGTCTCAGCACGGATACAGAAAGCTCAACTAGCTTTAGCCAACTTGCGTCATTTATGGCGTAGGCGAGATATCCGCCTGTCAACCAAAGGACGTGTTTACTGTGCAGCAGTTCGTTCCGTCCTACTTTATGGCAGTGAAACATGGCCGGTAAGAGTGGAGGATATTCGTAGGTTACTAGTATTCGATCATAGGTGTCTTCGAAATATTGCTCGCATATCCTGGGACCATCGAGTAAGTAACACAGTTGTTAGGAAACGGGTACTAGGTAAGGATGGCAAATCAATTGATGACGTAGTGAAACTTCAGTTGAGATGGCTGGAACACGTGTTATGTATGCCCAACGATCGACTGCCTCGACGTGCGATGTTTTATGGTGTGGGAGTAGGTTGGAAGGAAACATGGCACAAGTCCATGAAGTCACTGACAAGTGGACTGAGTCATGTTGGTAGGTGTAGACTACCTGGTTGGGGACCGCGAGATGATAGCAACGGATGGTTAGAGACCCTGAATGACATGGCTCAAAATTGTTTGCAATGGCGCAGGTGCATCCACTCTTTGTGTTCTCCCAAATTTTGATCTCCTTATTCCTCCTTGTCTCTTTTTTTCTCTTCCCAAATTTATTTCAATGTATTATACTCTTTAAATAACATCTCCAAACACCAATTTTCCCGATTAGTACTTATACTCTTATTACCTTTACCACTACGGGATTTGAATCGACCATTGCATCTCTGTGCTAATGTGATCTTGTTACGCGCCAGTTGAAAGTTAAATGATTGGAAAGTACAGATTTCGTTGGTTAGTGAGATTAAGACCTAACTGGAAAGCTTACTTCTCGCTCCATAGTATCACTAATCCCAAAATGCTCTGATACGGCGGAGCGTGGGGAGAGTCGGCTCTCCCTCTGTAAATGCTCTCACATGGCTATGTGCATACAACCACTGCCGGGCAAGTCCTACTCACTGGCTTCTCACGGCATTACAGTTGTTTCCGAAATTGAGAGTACGAAAAGAAAATGTCTGGTGCTTTAACCGGGTTGGTGGACACGGAGAGTCCACCTAGAGGAGTTGGAAAACCCTGATTTCAAACCAATCGTGCATATGGGCTCTAGGAAATGACGTTTGGACCTATTGTTGGTCACTGGTTACCATGAGACTGCATCACCTTACGTTGCCTCACTACCTTGTGAATCAGACCTTCAGGTTAAATGCTTCAGGTGTGGCCCCCTAAGAAAACCACCTACTTCGGTTTGAGTACCCAGGCAGTATCTCAGCCTTCACACAATTCAAATGAGATTTGTGTGGCGCATATTTACCTGGTGCCCCCTTGTATCAATATCTCTGTGTTCAAATAAATAAATAACGACATAATGTAGAATTTTTCTGTTGCGAGATTGGTAAAACATTGGTGCTTCTGATTTCCTTTATTTTTTCAGTTTTCGTTGAAATCATATTTTAGTTAGATTAAAATCACACTATTAACATAAAATCTAAGATATTCCTGGTATACTCCCAGATTTTAAATAGTAATTAATATTTGAATTCACTTCCCTCCTTCTCTATGGACTGAACATTCATCACATTTAAATTATAACAGTTTAAGCACCCAGAATTCCTTTTTTGTTTTGTCAATGAGCATTACGAGTTTGTTTGATATGTGACTTTTGTAGGCTGATCGCATAAAGATACCGTCAAGTCTATCAAATGATGGCAAACCGCAAATAAAAATCGCAGATTTATATTTGAAAATGCTTTTGCAAATCCAGACTGTGATCCGCCTATCAGAACCTTTGCTGACTCTGTTGTATCATTGCTTCGTAGATTTTTGGCCCGTCCTTATCGTTTTTATCCTGTGAACAAATATTATCTTACAAGTCATGGAAAAAAACATCCTTATAGAATGGGCCTTTGCTTTCTATATTGCTTTTTAGTTAATAATAGCAAAATTTGCTTGTCACTTCAGGTTATAAAAATTAACATGATTTGTAATTATCCATATCTGTTAGCACTTCAACTGTCATTCTTGTTCTCTTACGCGATTGAACCTTCGTGGGGAGTCACATTGTCTTTGTCCTTTTTTGTAATCTTAACGAATACACATTTGTGCCTTGTCTTAAAGTTTTGCAACTGGCTGCCGGGTTTCACAATTATGATGATTATTTTCCTTCCCTCCAGTTCATGGTTTGATACTCAATACATTAGCGTTATAAACATATGTAGAATTTTTTCGCTCCTTGTTTACGCCGAAATTCTAGATCTGCTTTTAGTAATGTTGATTCATGAGAAAGAATTGGATTGTATGATCGAGAAGTCAGCAAGCAAACTATTTTTCACTAATGAACCGCTTAGTTTTAATTTTAATCTGTTTTTTTTTTCATTACAATCAACAATGTCTGGTAACCCCTGTTGTTAGATATTAGTGTATATGTAAATTAAACCAATGTGTACCTCAATATTTATCACTCTGACACTTGATTTCACAATAAAAGTTTCCATAGTTGGGCACGCTAACTTTCATTCATTCTTAATGAGTTTCAGCAACCCAGATATGATACCTTTTGATGAAGTTTTGAAACCAATCGACGTTTTAAGTATGTTGTGAGTCTTAAGTAAATACTGGTCATAATAATTTTACAAACTTGTGTGTTTTTATGGTTGTTATCTAGTTTTCTAATCTTTTCTGGTTGATAATGTGTACTCATCAATTAACTGTTTGGTATAGTGTACAGGATGAAACTATTATTTTTATTTATAGGTGTACCCGAACTGTTGTTAGTTACCGTGAATCAAACGATGAAACAACAGATAATTCTGAACACAATCTTTCGGAAATTCCTGTTACAAGTAAAAGTAAAGTTCGTAGAGTGTTAGATGATGAAGAGGAAGAAAAAGAAGAGGATGCTGATCGGTCTCCTACTCCAATATCTGCCAGTCTAAAAGTAAAACGCTCCCAGTCTAATCGCACAGTTTTAAAGTATTCTTCTGATAGTGATTATCAACCGTGTGAAGATGATGATGATGATCAAGAAGGGGACAGTCAAGGTGATAGTGATTCTTTAACGACGGACGGAAAAATTCCACCAACAAATATCTCTATAAAATCAAAAGGTATTATTGAATCACAATCAGATGAATCAAATCACCAACATTCAACTTCAGAATTGATCATCTCCGAAACAAGTGATATCGATAATTCACTTTTCAAAGATAATGTGAAATCGGTTTATGTCGAATCAGGTGGCTGTAAAGTTGAATCTACAGACAATATTATGGTAAACTCATTTGATACATCTAAAAATCATGTAAATGGAAATAATTACGAAAATGATGAAGAAGTAGAAGACGAGGCTGATGAATGTCTACCAGTTCGTACTTTACCACATGTTTCTCCTCAATTTGATAAGCAAATTATTGAAAACAAACCTTGTGTTTCTCCGGATATTTTTTAAAGTTTAAATTTATTTATAATTATGTTCTTTGTTGTATGCTTATGACTAATGTTACTTTTGTATATTTTCCATTTCGATTGACATTCAGGGAGATTTTTGTAGTGTTCGGTAGTTGTTTTAAAAGTCGCCAAGTAATAAACTAATAATAACTAAAGTTCAGTGTAATTTTTTTTTGGTGTCCTACAATAATCTATACTCATTATCTTATTGTACATAGTTGAATCCTGTCGATTTATTTGTTATGATGTGTTGTTCATTCGTTTATTTTTAATGTTTAGTTGCCTTTTCGGCAGTATGATAATTTTTCATGATAATGGAAAGCATTTAACTACGTTTAAACACTATCAACGGATGCAAAAAATAATGTTCTTTTAATGAGTAAATGGTTTGATTTTTCTTTTCGTGAGATTGTTATGTAACTGCTTTTTTCTCTTCGTAAAATTTCACAAAAGATTCCCCATATTACTTACTTTTCCTTGTAAACTTTTGTAATTCGATGATATCGTGTCTTATCATCGTAAAGTAGGTAGTTACAAAAAATAATTAAGGGCAGAGTTTTCGTGCCAGATGTATAAATTTATCTTTTTGGGAACAATTTCAAATTGTTGTCAGATACTACAACATAGACTAACTTCTCCTGGATTGATTTCGCAATTATATATGTTGACTTAACGTTATGAGAATAGACTTTTTCATTGTAAAACCCCAGTTTACTACTTTTCCAAATTACTAACACAAAATCGCGTGTGAACACATCGTTTATCGTATCGAGTTACGCGGTACAGTTATAGGTGGTGACTTGTGTTAACTATCGAGCACTGGATCCTTATTTGAATCATTTGGCCACTAATCAGTAGGACTGGATCGTTGAGTTTCAGACAATTAGTATTTTTTGCTCTCATAAATTGATTGTCGTTAAGGATAGATGATGTCACTAACTTATGCTGTATCATAGTCCGTTGATATTGGTGTACGTACAATGAGCAATGTTGACAACTATTCTGACTCAATGTTTTAAAAATATATTCGCGGCAGTTCAGAGCTGTGACCCCGTATAATATGCACTGCTAAGGAGACTTGCACAAGCAAGCAACATCCTCTCAGCGGTTTTGGTACTCCCACCGTCAATTTTATAGAAACTGATCCCTAACTAGCATGTAGTTTGTGCACTTTGAATGTTTTGCTTTAATGAAATAATCAGTAGTATATTTTGATGATTCGTGGTGTGTAAGCATTACATGCAAGCTTAAGACACGATATGTGAGTTGTCGGAATAACACATTTTAGTTAGTGACCAGAGAAAATCTAGTTAACGTGAATCTGTTCGATTTTGTCAGGCTGTCGTCGGTTGCATATCATTCAAAGAAAACGCCACCATGTAGCATTTATAATTTTGAGAAATTGCAATCAAGACACGATAAATTAGAATAGATAATACCAGTTTCATGCGTATATCATAGGAGTGTGAAGACCTAACAAATTATTTGTATGAAGAAATGAAAGTTGTAGATGCGTTACCAGAAAAATACCGGAGGTCGCCGCAGCAAATATTGTGTATGTAGAGTCCGTCTCCTCTGATGGCACATCGTATGTTCTACACTCAGCTATCGAAAGCGAAATAACTTCACGCATTACATGAAATCCTAACTTTACTGTTTGAATAACGATTGTTCGGGTTTATATTCATAGAGAATATTGAATTGTTTCTTCCACCACGTGCTACTGTGCTCTCACTCCTTGCTGTCTACTCAACACGACTTATCCACGTAGGACATACTTTAGTGCCTGGCTCAACAATTCAACGTATTGAATTAAATGAAACGTAGATCCTCCGAGATAATCATTTGGCCTCTGATCTATTTATATGTATAATCGTCGTGGTTCAATCACACTGAGAACTTTTGAAGTAGAACGTCTCGGTAATTGGTAGGTACTACACAGAACAAATTTATTGCAACACATTTAAAGCTGTCTGAAGACTAACATTAAGTCAATATCAAATAACCTAATGAGCTGCTTATCCAGGATAAGCTGTCTTCTCCAGTACAAAAAAACAAACAAATGATAATTAAAGCACCATACAATGTAAGAAATTTTAGTAACTAGTATCTGTAGATCGTATATATAAAATTAAGGACTATATGATTATCCTCCTCCGTGTTAAGTGAAGTCTCAAATTTATCGATAGCAGCTAAGTTGTAACTAGTGTCATCAAAAATATGACTTTCTGACATAACATCACAAGTCTAACAGATCTAACACCATAAACGTATGAGGTGTACTGTGTTATAACAGTAAGAGAATTAAATAACTTATCATTTACGTACTTATAGGGAGAGAATAAATGTGTGGATGTCAAATGCTATGAGCGTTTCATGGTGAAAATAATCAAGTGTTACATGTAGTTATTTATCTAATCAGCTCCCAATAAAAAGTAAGTAATCGTCAGTTCATACTGACGACAGCCAAAGGCAAACCTGCACCTATATTAAATCATTAGACTATAAAACTATGGCCCTGGTAAATGGTAGAATAAAGAAGCAATGAGAGTACACTGATTGGTTTCCTAAAATTAACAATATAAACATGTTGTAAACAATAAAATCAATATCAGCAATACTGATAACATTGCTTTAGCATGAAAAATGCTGACATATAAAGTTAGCTAAAGTAACAATCTCCCTAAATTTTATAAACCAATTTATAGAAGTCATTCACTCAATCATATAAGATAAAAAATGAATGCCAAATGTACACAGATTGATTACATGAAAAATAAGTTATTTAAATGGGTAGGTAAGTGAGAGCGTCATCATAAAATCAATGAAGTTTTCTGCTTAGTGTGAAAGAAATAATAGATAAACAAGCAATAAAATGTTCAACAAAAGCATCATATGAGTACCCATGCATTCAACATGAACGAATTAATTCGATCTCAAATTGTTCAATTTTATTTTAAAATTAATGAAAAAGCAACAAAAAATCTGTGGACCGACAGAAAAAATAGACTTGAACTGAGCGAGGGTTGACAAATGAAAATCACATTTAGGAAGAAAAGCAGTACAATCGAAATGTGAACAGTATTTTCGAAAAAAAATCCTTAGAAGCTAAAGCCGAGGTGAACAGTTTATTTTAAAAATACAGTTATGTTTGTTTATATTACAGCTTTAAATTATAATAAACACGAGGGATAACCTTAGAGGAAAATAATGACAAATTATGAACTTATGCGTATAAACAACTCGCAACAGTTAAAATGTGTTGTCGATATATATGACTCAAATTTCACACACAAAACTTTAATGACAAAGGAAATGAACAAAACAATATCTGTTGATAACAACTTTGTTAAAGAGAGATAAAAATCAAGATAAGTTTCCCTAACAAATTAAATACAAGGACGCCAATCTGATGCACTTATTAAACCGGGTACAACTGTCTGACGTCGGATACCCCAAAATTTTCGTGGACGTAACTGATCATTTAACGCTTTGAATAACCAACCCATATGCTGGTAACAACTATTACAATTGGCTATTGTCCAAGAATAACTAAAATAGTGAAAGTATTGAAGAGCACGTAGTTACACAAGATGGATAAGAAATTAAAAGGCGTTGTTAGAAAAAATTATGATCAAAACCAACGCAAATCTTTCACTAGTATGCTGACTACGAATAGCGTTATTTTAACAGGTTGATTCGTCAAACTGAGTAAATAAAGATCACAGTTGACTGCCTCCGATTTGAGAGAGGGGAACTGAAGTCTAATATACGAAATCTTTTGATCTGGCTACCCAGTAATGGCGACTGTCCTTAACAGTTTACTACTGCTCATGTGACACAGTATGTAGTACATGGTCATCTACAATTCTATAAAATGGAATATCTGTTATTTGACCTATCGAATCTTGAATTGTTTTTCGAGTGATAATATTTTTATACACATAATGTTTTGCAACGCAAAAGCTAACATGGAAGAGTTATTCTGTTTAAAAATACTAACTACAACAATGAGAAAATGAGATAATCTCTCACAATAATAAGAACCAATGAAATGAATCAACAATTCGTTTTATTTTGATGATTATGCACCTTCGTGCCAATGGTTTATTTAATGGAGCCAAATCACAAAGTAAATTAATTCATAATTTTGATATATTTGGTATGGTCTATTTAATCAGTATGTACATTATACATTATGGGCGAAAGACATGAACATTTATGAATCGAGAAGGCTCTCTTTACAGTGAACACAGGTGGATGGTAGTTAGGAGTGGAATACCCATAAGGGGCCTGGTAAAGGTTTCAGGAACATCTATCTCCATTATATTAGAAGACTGAAAAAGACAAACCATAAGTCAAAACAGAATGGTTGAAAAATCCCAATGGTGAAAGTGTTGTACAACGTCTACATTTTGGGGGGTAATCCTTTTTAAAACATCCCGCAAGAATCACAGTAATCAAATTTTCGGTAATACAAGACTTATTGCATCTTTACATTATACAATATTTGATAGATATATTCAGAAAAACAGCCTATTAACATACCCAGGGAACCAGGAATATTCAGCTGAGGCCTCACCGATAAGATTAACAGAATTCGGTGTGACTTGACTCACAGTTACAATATCGTGTAAAATGCCAGACGGATTAATATACGTCTGTGAACTTCCTTCTTGAGCAAGGCATATAATATATTGGTTTGAAGTGATATTTGCATCACATGATGAACAAACACAGGCTGTCGACTAAAGAAAATTCATAGTGTTTTTAGAAAACAGAAACTTAAGATTGATTTTTAAGAGGAAAATGGGTATTATCAGTAAATTAACACAAAAACTTAGGGGGAAATGTGATAATAATGTTTTACGCAATTCAACAATAGTACTTAATATTTTGAAGCAGCCTATGAATGGGAATCATTAAAATAGTATATATAAGGGTGTATGTAACTACAATGACGTCGGTAAGCTGGTACAAAATGGGAATGTACTGGTGATCTTTAATGAACAAAAAACAATTGCAGTTTATCGTTAGTATTGTTAATATACTGATAAGAGACAGCAAAACGAAACAACAGTAAATAAATTATGCATAAAAAACTAGTAAAGCTAGCTTTCAACGCGTTCGGAGCAAAGCAGAACTTTCTGGATTTTTAATAACAGATATAAAGAAATAGTACCGGCAAATGCGTACACACCCACCATCGACTACTAGAAACAACCATATGATATCTAATAAAGAGTATTCTCAGAATGAGGATTTGTGATCGTAGTGATTTTAACAGTTGAATTCATGAGTCGATTTTCAAAATTACTACGATTTCAACAGATTCCCATTCTGATAATAATCATGAGCTCACTAGTGACTAGCTTTAAGATCGATTTCCTGAAGTTCTAGTGAGAAGCATTGACCAATGGAGTTTGGTCCGTGTCGAGTGAGACAGATATCCATCTCGGACAATGGATGAAGGGTTGCGCAAGATCATGGGTCGACTGATGTTAGACATTAACATCACTGGATTCCGGCTCAGTGGTCTGGAGGTTAAGAATACGCACATGAACCGAAGGTCCTGGGTTCGAGCCCCACGTGTAGGGTTGTGGATGCCCACTGCTGTGGAGTCCCACACTAGAACGAAGCGGCCGCTCAGTGCTTCCAGGTTATCAATGATGGTCTAGCT